AAAAGGTAACACTTATGTGAGACCGTCTCATGGGTCTCAATTCGTGAGACGGATCGGATCTTTAACTCCATTAATCAAAGATCCGACCTGTCTCACGAATTGTGACCCGTAAGACGGTCTCATCATAGAAGTTTTTGCCTAACTTTTTAATTTCACGATCGATAACGTTATGTTACATCAAAATTTTAGATGTCTTTCACTAGCTAGACTCATTCCTATTGGTTATACATCCAACTAATTTGATTTACATTGTTGGAATGAAGATCCAATTAGATTGAAAAGCAAAGGTGGGTAGGAGATGAATGAGAATGAAGGTATGATGGTGTTGGGATATATGATGTTGTAAGAGACCATGAGTTGTAAAGGAACAAGCTAAGACATGTGTCCATCACCTTCAATTAATGATGATTGTGGAGCAATGTTTGGTTTGCCATGGCCCATGGAGTTAGTCCTCTCACCACTTGCCTCTACCATAAGACACCGGAAACCCACCACACCACACCACTCTTCTATTCACACATCAAGATTATTTCTCATCATTCATATGTATGTATATATCTTTCATGCAATTTTATGCAATGTGTCCCTCTCACAGCCTCAAAATATTTCTATTCCACAAGATTTTTGGGAACAGTGGTGGGACAAAATCTAATTAAATGATGATAAGGAAACTTTATTCACGTATCTTGTTTTAGATGTTGAGAAAAATATGTAGACATTATCGAAAATGTGCATTGGATAAATCTGTAATATTTTAATAATCATGCTTCATCCACTCGTAATAACATGTGCCTATGAAAAAAGGTAAATTGAGCAAGATTCAACGATTTAGTAAATCTCTAATATTCGTGGCAGGAATTGAACTCTCACCTTTTCAATAAAACCAAGTCTTAAATGATATTTTTCATCTGCTAGACCAACATCTTAAGGGCCCTTTTGTTACATATTTTAATTTTGTTATTATGGCTACGCGTATAGTACTACCTACTGTGTGATGAGACCAATTTAGTTCGATTAGGCGTCTCTCTCAAGAGCATTATTACTACTACTCAAGGACTTTAATTAGACTTGTTTTAAGAACAACTATCTCAAAGACATTATTGTATACTAAATTTCTTCTTATTTGGTTTAACGCTTTTTGTGATAGCTACCTCAAACAAAAAAAAAAACAAAAAAAAAAAAAAAAAAAAAAAAACGACATTTTATGTAGATGAAATCGACATATGTATTATAGTACATGTACTAGGTGTCTGCAATAAAGTTTTAACCTACCATTGATGGATTGCAACTTGCTTCATTTTATTTTCTTTAAAATTAATTATTATGCCGCGAGTAATTGAGCACACATTTTTTATTCCGCAAATACATTATCAAAAACAAATTACACACAAACCAAATATTCAAACACTAATAATAAATATATACTAAGACTTTTCTACCGTGGGTCCTAATAATATCGGGTACAATAAATATCTAATTACATTGACTTATTGAGTACCCGATGCTACATGTCTTATAAAAGATTATTAAATATATGTGAGTTAATTTCATTTTTGGTCCTAAATTTATAGGTGACAGTCCACTTTTAGTCTTTTTATTATCAAAATATTCACATTTGGTCTTAGTATTATTTTGGCATGATTTTTTTTTGTCTTCCGTCAACAAAATCGTTAAAATATCATTAAATATAATTGCATTTTGATCATTTTTATACAAAGTAAGTTGACCACGCTATATTTTTATGTTTTTTTTTTAAAAAAATATCTGTAATTTAAGACCGAAATGTCTTTGTATTTAATGGCGTTAAAACTGTTTTGTTGATAGAGGACAAAAAATTGTGATGCCAAAAATAAAATAATACTATGACAAAATATGGATGTTCTGATAAAATGGACTAAAAGTGGACTGTCACCTATAAATCTATAACAAAAAATGGAATTAACTCTGTATATATATATATTTGCATATGTAAAGCCTAGCATGAGATCGAACTTGTACTTGTGAAAACGTATGGATTAATCTCATCGGTCCGTTTAAGATGGTCAAGTGATGAAAATTAAGAAGAATGAAAAAAAAAACACGTTGACATTTCTGTAATTATGACAATGCATTTGGAAACGATTGCTAGTGCATCTGTAAATTAAATAACAAATTGTGCATTATATTAGATCTTGAGTGTCCTATCAAACATTTTTAAATACACCGCCATAATTACATAAATACCATTGAATTTTAGTTTGCAAGTTCCTACTAAGCTAGTAATATATATATATATATATATATATATATATATATATATATGTGTGTGTGTGTGTGTGTGTGTGTGTGTGTGTGTGTGTGTGTGTGTGTGTGTGTGTGTGTGTGTGTGCATTCAAATATAAATCCCCTTAAAATACAAACTTTCTTAAAATAAAAACTTGAGCCCGTGCACACATTAATATACTTACATGCACATAGCGCGTAGGAGGAAAAATCACAACCATCCATCAAAGCTCGTGCACACATTAACATACTTATATGCACACAGTTTGTATTTTAAGGGGGGTTTGTATTTTAAGGAAGGTTTGTATCTGAAAATAATATATATATATATATATATATATATATATATATATATATATATATATAGACTTTTATACTGTGCACATCATTAATATAGGGTACAACTCATACCTAATTATATCAAGTACTCGATGTTATTTGTCTTATATAAGGGTATGGTTAATGTGAATATTAGTAGTCTCGTGAGAACATGTAGACTAATTTCATTTGTCCATTTAAAATGATCAATTGTTGAAAATTAAGAAAAAACATTTCGTGACATTTTTGTAATTATGATGGTACATGAAAACGCTTGATAGTGCATTGACATATATATAACTATAATAGTGCACACACGTGATTATACTATTATAGATCCCAAGTACACTGTAACTATTTACAAATGCACTGTCTAGCGTTTTCAAATGCACAATTGTAATTACATAAATGCCAACACGTTTTTCATTAATTTACAGTCTTGATCATCTTATTAAATGAATGAATAAAATTAGTCTACACACTCTTCTTCTCCCAAAAGTTGAATCCTCAACCCCAAGGGCCTCCACACCTCGGCTAGACGAAATATTTGAGAAGATGTAAATCATGGTGACTCAATGACTCAACCGACAGAACCATGACTCAACAGAAAATGCTAAATGTTGGTGCGCACAAGAGAATTGTTCACTTTAAGTATAATACCAACACTTGTACAATCAAAATTTTGAGCCTTAGGCCCTGTTTGGTAAAATGGCTGTTAGCTGATAGTTGTTTGCTGTTAGCTGATTGTGTTAATTAAAAGGTATAAATAGTTGATAACATTAGATGATTGTAGAAAAGTGTTTGGTAAATTAGCTGTTAGCTGATAGCTGTTTGATATAATTTCTTTTCTCAAAAAGCTAATTGAAAAAGTTGCTTGGAGTAGCTTTTTGAATTTTAACCTTTTGGAGCTGCAAAAGGCTAATTAACCAAACATTTCTATTAATATTTTAACTAAATCAAACAATTAATAGTGGTCAAATAAGCCAAAATTGACCTATAAGCCAATTTTTACTAAACAGGACCTTAGTCTCTTAACTTTTTCTAATTACTGCTTACTAAATTAATGAACTGAGCTAAGCTAAGCTGGTTGTACATTCTCACAAGACAGCTAGTTGTCATATCATCTATATATGCAGTGAAATTTAAATATGTGACAGACTGACAGTGTAAAGAGGCCAAGATTTTAACCATTATGGCATGCAGAGACATCATTGGACCGGCTTTCTTGTCTGTAAGACTGTAACAAGTTTAAAGGACCAATTATGTAGTCTCCTACTATAAAAGAAAGGCAAAAAAAAAAAAAAACAAAACATGATTAAAGTGAGGTAAACTTGAGATTTACAGTCGAAATCCTTGATACGTACTGTCTGTTGTTTAAACCTGTATCCGACCCGACAAAAGCCATTGATCAAAATCAAGATGCCAGAGTGCAAAATATTTATATAATAATAGCGAAAAGGAGAAAAGGAGAGAATGGCTTGATTGGCTTCTGGGCATCTCATTATAGAGGAGTGCTAAAGTGGGAGAAGGATTAATTTTGATGCTGGGGAATTTGCAATTTTTTACATTATTTTTTTTGTGAAAGAAATAATTTTAATTAATTAGGTGGAATCATGAACCATAACCCACATTCTCAAACATACCAATAGAAAGATATATATTTTCAATATTAACTAAAAATTTAAACATATACTCCGTAGTAGATATGTCCAACATCTTTCGAGTTACTATAATAGCTTTTTTATGGGTCAGTCACGGGTAGATGTAGTCCAAATTAAGTCAGGATCGTTATTTGAAGGTGTGTGCTTTAGGTAAGACCCAAATGATCGTAATGAGATAAATTAGGTGTGAGAAAATCCACTAATTGGGCTCAAGTCACTACCCAAAAGTGCACTTTGAGGGAAAAAAAAAAAAAACACAAACCACAACTCCCACAAGGTCGATCGTATCAAGATCAACTTTAGGGGTGACATTTTGGCCTTCTTAGTTTGAACGGGTGAACTATGAGTAACCTAAATTGATGTACCTCTTTGGTCCATTGCAATCTATAATTATAGAAACATAATTTACTCAGTTCACACCTTCGGATAATAACTTTTGGTTTCTTTTTTGTCACCCAAAAAACACAAACCAAAAAAGTCAAAAGACCAAACATGTCTCATGAAGAGTTGAACTCCAATACAAACCACAACTCCCACAAGGTTTCAAGATCAACTCTTAGTGGGTGTGACATTTTTGTCTTCTTGATTTGAACGGGTCAACTATGAATAACCCAGATTGATTTATTTCATTCTCCTTTGAAACTAGAATCACAAAGCATGATTTATTCTGTGAGATCAAAAGATCAAACAACTCCCATAGAGAATCAAACTGGAATACAAACTTAACTGGAATTATATATATTATCTTTTACAATACATTCTCCTATTATCCCCTACTTGTTATAAAAGGTCCATGCATGTCAATTGTCAAATCCTCAATAGTATAATTACACTAACTTAAAGCTCACTCTCCATTTGAATTCTCTTTCAAGATAAAATATTTCCTAATTGAATCTCAGTATGATTGAAGATTAGCTGAATGGAAGCGTCATTAATCGGCAACATCTTGTAGCCCATGATGAGGATAAGGGCCAAGAATTCTTCTTCTTCTTCTTCCAGTCTCCGTTGTTTCAAGAATTCCGGCACCTCTCCGATCTGCAGTTTCAGGAACTGAATCAAGAAGAATGGATTTTTATCACCGCCCCAACAGGTTATTTCTGGAGACGCGCGGAGATTCGCGGCCCGGAAATGGAAGCAGCAGAACGCCGCACCGGAATGGCTATCCCAACGAAGCGAGCTTCGACACTAACATGGTGATCATATTGGCGGCGCTGCTCTGTGCTCTGCTATGCGCGCTTGGGCTCAACTCGATTGTGAGGTGCGCTTTGCGGTTTAGCAGCCGGTTTAGTTCGGACTCGGACGGCGGCGGCGGCGGCGGGCTGAAGAAGAGCAGTTTGAAGCAGATTCCGGTGGCGGTTTACGGGTCGGGAGTGAATATTCCGGCCACGGATTGCCCGATTTGTCTCGGGGAGTTTTTGGATGGGGAGAAGGTTAGGGTGCTTCCTAAATGTCACCATGGGTTTCACGTGCGGTGTATAGATGTGTGGCTGGCGGCGCACCCGTCGTGCCCGACGTGCCGGCAGTCGTTGATTGAACTGCCTCCGCCGTCTGATGCGGCGGCGGATGTTGAGGCTGGGTAAGATTCTTAAACCGGAGCGTGTCATCTCCGATGGGAGCTTAAGGAGTTCGGCGATTCATTCTGTTTAATTTTCGATCTGCCGGTTCCGCCGGCGGCCAATCAAAGCGCTGCTGATTTTGTTTATTGGTTCTTGTTGAAAAGACTAGAGATAGAAAGGTAGGAATGCGTACTGAATTTGGCTTTTGTTTTGTTTTTTTTTTTTCCTCTCTTTTTTTGGTCATGTACTGATTGTGGTGTGTGTTTGTTGCATTAATTCTACAAATTATTCAACAAACAAGTTAAGAAACGAAACCGTATTGTGACCCTTACGGCATAAGATCAATACATGAAGTAGCACTTGTTAAAGTTGATTTAAGGGTTAGGTTAGTTAATTCAGTTGGTTCGACTAGTCACTTAAAGTGTTGCTCCAATAACAGTGTGAAATTAAATTTTATTGGCAAATTAAGGTGATGATTGGGAGATTTTAGTCGATCAGAGGTGACGATGACCCATAGTGGGCGGGGGTATTTTGAATCTTCCAAGTGAGCATTATAGTGTCAGGTTTATCTTTAGTAACATCTTAAATTTTGTTACGTGTTTAGGTCTGATTCAATATTCTAAATTTCTATATTATTGGACCTATCTAAGGTAGGTATGAGCCTTAGATATTTTAGAACATAATAATAATCAACTTTTGAAAATATTTTTTAGAGTCAAATGTTTAAAATACATCGTTTAATAACTGATCCCTTCCACAAGTTAATCTTTACAATTCGTTGTACTCCGTATCAATCTTTTAATGTCACATCAAACAAAATTCGATTGTTATTAATTTCGTTACATATATTTTTAGGCTTATAAAGTAGTGCAAGTTATTTCATTTCTATTATAATAATCATTACTAGGTACTAGGTAGGCATTGCTAGTAAGGAACAAGGAATCATCATGTGCTCATAGAATGGCATCTCTTCATTAACCTTTTTATTTTCATTTTCTCTCAACGTGGTGGGTCATCTACTTTGCCCCATATCAAGTCATACATATCTCTATCCCTTTTCTTTTTTCAATATGTTATAATTTAAATATCACATTTCATTATTACATCAATAGACAATTTACACCCCAAAATTTTATTTTTTAAAATACAAAGAGACATAATCTTTGATTATAAACACCACCACCATATATTATATGTCTATGACCTTATTTGACAATTAGATTGTCTTTATCCAATCAATACTCTTTCATTTTAAAAAATAGATTTCACTTCTACATTATTAAATTTGTAATTTTTTCATTATTTTCTCTACTACCTTACAATATTCTCTCACTTTCACAATATATTATAGTATACTAAGAAATAATAAATTAAAAATTAAAAAAAAAATAGTACACAAAACGTTGTTGCAGCTTCCATGCGGCAGCCTTTTACAGGCTTGCAAGCTAGCTTTCTAAGGCTATCCGCACCTTTGCAATATTCTCTTACTTTCAAAATTTTATATCACTAAATTTGTAATTAATCACACTACTATAGAAAACACTTTTAACGTCGATTTTTATAGACATACAACATCAGTTATTTGGCGACGTAATTAGGCACGACATTGTAAATAAATGATATGACGTCAGTTTTTTTAAACTAACGGCGTATGTTTTTTTTTTTTAAAATAAAAAATTTAAAGCAACGAAGTTGATTTAAAAAAAAAAAAAAAAAAAAAAAAAAAACGTCATCTTTAATCTAAAAAAGAAAATTGAGAAACAACGTCGGTTTTTACAAAACACAGACGATGTTTCTCAATTTTTAAAAAATAAAAAAGAAACAACTGTCGGTTTTTAAGAAATGAGAGTATTTTCCTTACCCAAAAAAATGCAAAGTTATGGCATATGAAACATTTATAACTGATACGATGAAAAGTTTTGTCAAATGATGCCAAAAGTTATGTTGTCATTCATGGTTTCCGATGCATGACAGATCAAAGGTGGCTCTTGCCCAAATTTTGTGGTTGAGACTTGGACACCATTACAACAAAAGTACAAATACATAGTTACATACGTTACAACAAAAGTACAAATACATAGTTACATACGTCATAATTTTAATATAACATTTTATTGATAAACACCTTATGCTCAACAGTTTTGCTGATAACAATAATCATTGTATGATTCCTTTGTAAAAATTAGATTCATCAATCAGAAATCAATGTACTCGAGCAAACACAAAGGGAACATTAAACTTTATTGAACTCCATAGGATCACCAAACTCTCAAATGGGAGATAATATTACAGACATTCACTTAGTCAGGCAGTATGTTGGCTAAGGATGAGATTGTACTAGGGGATACTGCCCTGCTTCCACCCAAATACCATTTCTTGATCATCCCACCCACATTTGCATTCTCCACTTCAATTGATGAGTCCTCCTTCCCCTCCGTGGCAAACACAATCTATTCAAAAATAGACGGGAAACTAGTCAATATCGTAAAATGTGTCTCAATAGCCTACACATTTTCAAATATTCATGTATGCAGGTGGCCACTGGCGAATTCACAGCCCCCACTCCCATTCTCTTTATATATATTGGGGTATATGTCCATTGTATATATATAGTTAACTTATAAATATTAAATTTACATAAATTTAACCAAAGGATAAGTTAGTTTAGATGGTAAGACATATGACTTATACCAAAATGCTTCGGATTCTAAGAGCATCCCCACTAATGTGTGGAGAAGAGAGGGTGAGTAGGAACTAGGAAGAAAAATATAAACCCTCCTGCAAGGAGCTGGTTTTTATTAGAAAAAGGGGTCCCGTGTGGAGGAAGGAGGGAGCACATAATAGCTTTTTTTTTTTTCATCTTCTCTTTCCTACTTATACCTCCAAAAACTTCTCAAAAATCACAAATGTTGGAGATGCTCTATGTATTTTGTTTGTTTTTTTTTTTCTCAAAATATCTCATTGGTTTTTAATCTTTAGCCCCCACAAGGACAAATTTCTGGATCCGCCCCTTCTGGTGGCGGGTGCTTACAACAATGTATGAATTGAACTCAATGTATGCTTTGCAAGTGTTAGTGAACCAAAGATCCAAACTCTTTTTGGATTAGTCAGCCAGTTGTGCTATGCGAGCGTAGGGGTGGGAATAGGCCAGACCCCTTCATAGGAGCCTAAGGCCCGGCCTATTTAAGGCCTACATAGGCCAGACTTGTTTAGTAAAAAGGTCAGACTTGGGCCTATTTTGAAGCCTATTAAATTAAACAGGCCAGACCTATTTATACAAAGCTCGGCCTTAAGGCCTACATGCCTAGCCTATTTACACATATATATAATTTATTTGTAATATTAAGTTAGTATATATTATATTTTATACCTAATACATTTTTATATTTACAATATAATTCCAAGTATATATAATTATCAAACCCCAACCTTTCATCTCCGAAATCGCATTCTAAATTCTGATTCAACTATAAACATTGTTGTTAATCCTATTATAAGTGTTCTTATTGTTTAATTGTTCTTACGGTTAAATATTTAATAAGTATGTGAGTTGATTGTTAACTATTTATGATATTATATAGGATGACAATCATCATTCCTAAACAAGTTAACAAACATGTTGAAGTTGTAACTTGTTTTATTTTATTTTATATATGTTTTAATACTATTATGTTTGCACTGTGGCGATATATTTATGTAGTTATATATTACTTTTTAAATTTTTTTATAAAAGACTTAATATATAGGTTTTAAATAGACTAAAAAGCATAACTTACCATTCAAAAAAAAAAAAAAAGCATAACTTACTTTGAAGCCTTTTGAATGACCTACATATTAAATAGACTTTTAAAAAGGCTTCAGGCTTGTTGAACCTAACAAAAAGCCTGCATATAGGTCCAGACCCATGCCTAGGCCTTAGATTTTCGTAATAGACCCAAGCCTAATTTTCTAAAACTCGGCTCGGCCTATTTTCACCCCTACTCGTCGAAGTTAACAATTAGATTAGTTGATTATTGTTACCTTAGCTGTGGCAGTGTTGGCTGGGAAAGAAAATGTGATGACAGAACTTTTCTTGAAATATTTGGACTGGAAAAAGTCCACAACTTTCTCAAGGGCAGCTTCCTCTTCCTCTTCATATTTATCCACCTCTGCCAATAGGTCCCTCACAGAATTCTCAAGCTGCACCCCATACTGTGACCCTTTGATCTCCTTAATCACCACCACTCTCAACACTTTATCCACTGGAGCTGCACATATTATATTTTTTTCACAATTTCCATAACATCATCATTATCATCATCAACAACAACAACAACAATAATAAACAAAGTTTAAGGTACTGATGATAAATTTACCATTGATAATAGCCTCAAAGAAATCATCATCTTGAGCTAGGTCAACTGGTGTTTTGCCCTTCCATTTCTGCAAATGTGACACAATTTCTGGGTCCAAATAAACTCCAATTGCAGTGTACTTTATTTGGAGAAAATGTATCTCAACATCAGTAATCCCTGCAGAATATAATGGACAAATATCAACAACACTACTAAAATGTAAATCCTAAAAATTATAGTACTAATAATAGATAGAAAAAAAAAATCTAATATTCATTTATTTGTCCTTTTTTTTTAACTTTACCATGACCCATCAGTGATAGCAGCTTATTGTCCAGATTGACCTGGGGAGGAAATGGGATTTCATCCACCATCACCATTTCAGTACCCACTGCATATGTAAAACAATTTTTTTTTAATAATAATAATAACTCAAATTATAAAATTAAAAAAAAAAAACTTTTTGAAAATTGAAAATTACAAAAAGGGCTTACTCTCTTAATCTTAGAAAGCTGAAGGAGAAAGAGAAGGATATATGTCTGCAGCCTGCAAGAAGAACTGGGAAATTCTTGCATTGGCTAGTGATATATATACACATTTTTATTTTTATTTTTATTTTTATTTTATTCATTTTATTTTTGTAGCCCAACGATCAACGGTCAAAACTTCATCTAGCCTTGGGAAGTTAGGTAGGATCTGTGAACTGAACTAGCCAGGGTGTCACATTTTAGACATGAATATATATGACTTTAAATTGTACGAACAATATGTAGTTTAAGACTTAAGTTGGCAGAAACCAATTCGTATTAAAATCATGTTTAGAGGTTGAATTTTGTGCACCAAAAGAAATATATCAATTTCAGACGAGAAAACTCATAACTACTACTCCTAGAGTCTATATTGGGTCGATAATAAATTATTACACTATGATATTTTTTAAATTACACACCATTGTACAACATACTCAAGAATGTTGACAATGATCGAATCCTGTAACCTTCAAGTACAAAAATTTATGTTCTACCCGTGATCGACGCAGTGTTGTGTGTACCATAACAAAAAAAAAAATACATTATTCGTGTACTAAATATAAATTATTAAAAATAATGTACTTTCGGTACTAAAAAATGTACTTTTCCTGAATACAATGTACATTTTTAATATACTAAAAATACATTATTTGTATATTAAGTGTACATTATTTAATAGTATGATCCACACAATAATAATTACTTGGTTATTGTTTGGGCTATGAAATATAATCTTTGATTGTTTTGGTATGTCAAAATCAATAATATCTTTCTTATATTAGAACAAAAAATATAAAAATTTATCCATGAAACGTCATGGGGCTGGGAGCCATGCAATCTCCTCCATCCACCCACGAGCGAGGAGCAATAACCACCGCGTGTTTTACCTACCACTGTCCATCTAAAGTCTAAACATATCAAGGAATACTGATTTGAGGGAAAGGTTAGAATGGTCAAATTGAATTTATTGAAGTAATAAAAAAATATTTATTTAGTAAAATAGTAGTGATAATATGATTGAAATAATATATTATCATTTCAAAATTCAAACTATATAAATAATTATTTGTATACAAATGTTGGGACTTTTTTTACATGTGATATTTGTATCTATATTCTATACTATGAGATTAATCTGAATTTGTTTTGGATTGCACCTACATAGTTTGATTTTTGCTTGCATTGGCCGCTCAGTTACTAATTGTTTCAAATTACTAAGTTATTTTTTATTTGGTAAATATAGTCGAATCCACATATACGTATAATTTGTAGGGTCGAATCCTCGATAGCTCATTTAATAGTCTGCTTGTTGGTTTAGGTATCTAAGATTGGGTTATGTGACAGTGGGTCAGAGGATCCAAGCTAAATATAAGTGTGTCAAAGGTGCCAAAAGCCCCCATCTTAAGCATTTAATGCGGTATTTATAAGAGGAAAAATGAGACACATGTCAATCATTCGGCATGCGTGACATGTGGGGCTCATTCACAAGGGGAGGTTGGAGGCCTTGCTGATCCCTTCACATGTACTGAGATTCGTGACAACCGGGTTTGACTCAAGGAATAAGGCTCAAGGCTTCAAGGGAGAAGGTCAGGTAACCTATCCCAACCTAAGATAGTCTAGACGAGTCAATAAATGGTAGGACACTACTATTGATTGAGCCTCCGCTCTGTCTTACGTATCGGGACGGGCCAGTAGGCTTTGAGATCGGAAATGATTCCTCCCAATGACCCGGGCAGGTACGTGGTACACCAAGGGAAAGTATACTATGAAGATATTCCCTATCAGGTTGAAAAAATTTGAAAAAAAAAACTCAGACATCTTCACACAAACAAAAATGTCCAATTTTTTTATTTTTTTTTAAACGAAACGAAGTATATTAACTGTCAACAAGTCTGCATCAACAATACAAGATAAATTTAGGAATACAATCCACATATTCTACCCTGCTCCTCTCTACCTTAGAAAAATGTCCAGTTAGAATTTCACTTTGCAAGGATTGGGACAATGAGATGGTGAGATTGGGGTGTAAATGTGGATCGGGTGGCCCCATTGCAAGTTGGGATTTTTGTGGGCAAGTTTAAAATAAAATATACAAAAGAAAATATTTATATTGTCTGACATGCTATATTTTAATACATAAATAGAAAAAAATATGTAATACAAAATATATTTTAATAGTAATGATTTTTTATTTATAATTATAATAACTTGTACTCATTTCTATATAAAAGCATACTAACTATTATTATACACAATGAATAAATAATATAAAATCTAGTTAGGGAGTCTCAACGGGGCAAATAATTGTGTGGATCACGGTCCAAAACGACATTATTTTGACGTAAAAGGAAAAAGATTTGTTAATCAATAATGATGTGATTTGCTCAGTCGTTTATGTGTTAGAATAATGAACCTTTTAGGATAAGATAATATATTTTTATGAGTTATAATAATGTACTTTATGAGGTAGAATAATGTACTTTATAAGTTAGAATAATGTACTTTATATGCTAGAATAATGAACATTTCGGGTAAGATAATGTATTTTATGAGTTAAAATAATGTACTTTATTAGTTATGAAAAAGTATGTTGCAGCAGTGGAGAGGAAAATGCAGGTCGCGTGAGAAAAATTTGTGCAACCTAACGGCGCCGTCGCCTCTAATGAAAAAATGATGTCGTTTTTGGACCGTGGTCCACACAATGATGGTTGAACTTTGACACTCCTAAGAGTACAAGATTGGGCTAAAGTTCAGTTTAGGCCCAATTCAGGCCCACTATAACCTGGACGGCAAATTATGCTGTGCATCCGTATGCACCATGCATGGTGCATACGGATGCAAAAACGACGTCGTTTTAATAAAACACGCGTCTCCTCTTAAAAAAAAAAATCAAGTTCGATTCTCAGCAACAACATATGAACTAAAATTCCAGAATCGATGAACTATAATTTCATAATTGATGAACTATAATTCCATAATCGATGAACTATAATTCCAGAATCTAATCTATGAACTAAAAATTCCAGAATGAATGAACTAAAATTCCATAATCTATGAACTAAAATTTCATAATCGATGAACTACAATTCCAGAATCGATGAACTATAATTCCATAATCAATGAACTATAATTCCATAATCTATGAACTAAAATTTCAGAATGAATGAACAATATAATGTTGTTGCTGAGAATCGAACCTGAATTTTTTTTAAAGGGGAGACGCGCGTTTTTTAATAAAACGATATCGTTTTGGCATCCGTATGCACCATGCATGGTGCATACAGATGCACAGCATAACTATTGAACCTGGACATGTTGTGCTGGTTGAATATTCTTGATGACCCAAAAGATGAATATAAAAAAAAAAAAAGGAAAATGACGTGGTACAATAATGCCACGTCAGCAGCAAAAATGCGCCAGATGGGCGGGAGAAGGCGGGAAAGCACGTGCCGAGCCGAAGCGGCACACCGCCATCGCGTGGAATCCTCAGACCGGCGCATTGCATCAATAATGGCTTCCCATGCGAAGCTTCTTCCCAAAAGACGCAACCCTCATTTATAACAACCACCGACTCCACTCTTCCCCGCACGCAAAATCCACATTTCTCTTCTTCCATCCTCTCTCGTTTCTCCATTTTTTCCGGTTGGAGTTTCCTTTTTTCTCCGACGATGGCGTCTCTCAAGGTCCACTCCGGAGCGGCGTTCGTTCACGGCAATCGGGCGTTTGTTCGCCCCAAATCCAACCCGGTCCGCCTGAACCCTAATCACATCTCCCAGAAAAATCAAATTCAACGAGTTTTCGCGTCCTACTCGCCGCCGCCGTGCGATGGCCCGCTGGTACGTCGCGATCCCGCGGCGATTGCGGTGCCGGACGGAGGAGAAGCGGGCGGCGGCGGGGACAAAATCGTGGCGGAGAAGTTGGACCGGTGGATGCGGGGATCCGTGGCGGAAATCGTGAAGAACTTGACGAGAGCGCCATTGCTAGTCCAAGTGTACTCGGACGGCGGCGGCGGCGAGGAGGACGCCGAGGTCAGAGCTGAGAGGGCGGTCGTCGAGGAGTGGCCGGCGGTCAAGGGCGAATGGGAGAGCGGGGAGAGACGATCGCCCGACGGACTCATCTTCGTTGAAGAGCTCAGAGATGACGCCGTTAACGACGAAGAAGAAGAAAAATTTGACGGTGTTAACAGCCAAGCCAACGAAACGGTGACACGGGCGTGGGGGATAGTGGTTCAGGGAAGAGGCGCCGAGTGCGGGCCGGTTTGCTACCTCTTGAAGACGAGCAAGGTCGGCGCCGGAATCGGAATGGGAGCGTTCTGCACCCATTTTTGCCTGGTGAGAGTGAAGAGTTTCCGGGAAAGTGCTTTTTGCCAGTTCAAGAATTGCTGGCTGCTTCAATGATCATCATCTTCTTCCCAAATCCCAGTTCTCATATATTCTTGCCATCGATCATCTAGTCATTCAATATATAGTTTTGTATAAAGATGATGAAAATTGTATAGCAAATTAGAATTCTTTACTTCACATTCCTTCTTGATTCATTGAAGACTCATCAATTACCATTAGTTGCCATTATTAAGATCAAATAAACTTCTAACTATAATCAAATAATAATAATTGTAGTACCTTTTATTTTAAAAAAATGTTGAATTCTCAATCCTAGTCCAACAAAAGTTCATGCTAGGCTAGATTTTTATTTACTGTACATAAAATGTATCTCATTTTGAGAGATTCGATCTGCTTATACGGGCATAAATTGTTTATTTAGCTATGTAAGTTGTTGATGACTTGGTGTGAAACTTGCACATGTGTATCATGTGTTTTACATTACCAATATTTTTAAATTGTTTTTTTTTTTTTAAATTTTGTAAGATTTGTGTATAATCAAATGTAACTATCTTAGAGGAATAAAATGATTTGAAACAATAGATGTCACTTTTTTAAGTAATCCGTTTAGAATGCGGCAAAAGTAGGCAAAAGGCACATCCAATGACGATTATATTTTTTAAAAAATTGCTTTTAATTTATTTGTAATTAAAATATGACACGTCAAGTCATCAACATGCTTGATTTGTTTTAACTTTAGATTTATTAAATTTAATTGAACACACAAGAAACCCTCACTTTGAAAGGTTGCTCTCACATTATTACACCTTTGTTTATTATACACAAAGGATCTTAAAGGTTGAGACTTAAATTTTGAATTATTATTTTTAAATTTTATGTGATTAATTGAGCTGTTGAAACTTCATTTTAATGAATGATTTGATAGGGGTAAGGTGGACGGTGTTTTAAACGAGTGATATGAGAATGACATTATTTTGGTGAAAATTGTTGAGGCAGAAGATGGATTGAGGAGTTGTGGTCAAAGAAAGATCATAAATTTTGGCACATTAATCACTACTATCTCATGACTGATCGAACCGGTCAATATTGTTGTCGGACGGCAAGTAGAACCACGTTAGCTTTGACTGGGTACAACTGTACAAGTGGGTTTACAGAGCAGCCATGATCGAAAGGTGGAATTTTCATCGTCCTGCTGGGCCGTGAAGAAGGGTTCTGTCGTGTTAACTGTTAGTAGTTTAGTTTGGGTTTTGGCCCATTTTAGAAGGGGCATTTTTTGTGAATTTTAAGGAATGAAGGGTCGATATTCTAATTGACAAACATATTTTCGAAAGAAATAAGGAAAAAAAAGAAAATGTCACGTTACTGTTGTCGCGCCCATCTGCAATTCGTTTCCGAATCACACTCTAAAACCATTTCTTGCTCAACCCTTACCTCCACCATTTTCCAAGTTTCAAACTTTCTTAGTCTGATTCACTTTTTCCCCGAATATCCTCCACAGAAATCTGAATTCTGTGAAAATCAGGTCAACGTTGTACTTGGGTTGTAATCTCTACCTTTATTGTCTGGGTAGTGATGGTGGGCGAACGAGGAATCGGCGATGATTCTCCGATGATAAATGGATCTGAGCCAGAGGTTCTGATTTTACTCCTGTCTTTTTATATGCTTTTCTTCCTTGATTTCAGTTTCTGTGAGAGGGGCTGGTAGTAATTCTTGTGGTATTGTTTTGTATTTTTAGGCAGAGAGAGGAACTGCAGAAATTGAAGAAAGATTGGAGCTTTCTCAAGAGAAAGTGAGGGGTTTTGAACACCCCAGAGGCATGCTTCTTTAGTTTCTTTTTGTTTGGATTGGTTATGCTAATTTGCCCTGAATTATTTGTTATTTGTGTTTAATTGATAGGTTTTCAAGTTTGATTAGCCTGGTAGTGATGTGTTTTTCCATTTGTATGATAATGAAGGGTTGTTAGGCTGAGTAAAGGGATTTGATATGTTGTGTTTTCTTAGTGGGAATACTTTGATATTGTGAACATTTGGATTTATAGTGTTGAAATCCTTTCTTTGATTTGCGGGAAGCCCGCCCTGTGAACCTAGTTGCCACTAAGAAGTAAGAAAATAATCTCCAAGAGGTAAACTAGTTTAGGTTGTCTATAGCTGACTAACTCAAACCAAAAAGGCCGATAGGCTGCTCCCACATTGAGTCGAACTTGGAACTTTGTGGTTACCAAGCCAATTGTCTGACCGGCTTAGTTGGGGGTTGAAATCCTTTCTATTAGTGTGATGGTTGTTAGGAGGTAAACCAACTTAGGTTGCCTATAGCTGACCCGCTCAAACTAAGAAGGCTGATAGGCCACTCCCACGGGGGAGTCAAATTTGGAACTTTGTGGTTATCAAGCCAACTGTCTGACCAACTTATTTGGGGGTTGAAATCCTTTCTATTAGGTACTTCCGAACTACTCTCTCATTTTATACTTGCTTGACTTTGCTTGGGCAGAAAGAAATGAAAAAGATGATGGACATGTTGTGATTGGCGATGTGCAGAAAACGCTTGATCATAATGCAACTGCCGGTGCTTCCAGTGATGGTGTTAACAGTGACACTGCTGCTGCGAGTTTTGGTAAACCCAACAGAGAGGGCTCTTTTAAGACGGGAGGGAAGGAAAATTCGGTTTGTGCAGTAAAGATGAAAAGATTTGGCTTTGATGTAAACGTAGCGGATGTTTCTAGCTCGGTGAATCCCGATCCTTCTTATCATTGCAACACTATAGAAAAGGTGAAATCAGTTGACGATTTCGAGTGTGCGAGTTTTGTGGGCCCGTTGGAGGAGAGAGCTCCATTGAGAGCGTGGAGTGAGACGAAAAAGAATGCTTCTCTTCCATATTCTCGTGGAGTACCAAAGCCATGTGTGCGGAAGATTAAAAACGAGAGGATGAAGAAAAAGATCGAGCTTGCCAAGAAAGAACAAGCGGACAAGTTCGCTAAAGTTGCTGCTCCCACAGGGTTGCTAAACGGTTTGAACCCCGGGATCATAAACCACGTAAGAAACGGTAAGCAGGTTTATTCTATTATAGAAGCCCTCGTTAGATCCGAAAAGCACGACAATTGTCCTGCTGGAGAGAAACACGGGAACCAAATGAAGAGTGGAGAAAGAAAGGATCTTGAAAATATCGGTGGTTACTCGGCATTGCCAAATGATTTAGACGGGAATGGTAAGTCATGTATGGTCGAGACAAGGGTTTTCGAAAGGACGAATTATCACTTGAACTCCACGACAAACGGTAATGATGGCGTAAATGCATCGAAGCTGCCGTCAGACACAAACATCATGTCTTGTGATGCATCAGCTAGTGTTACCGCACTCTCCATTAAAGGTTGGTTGTTTACTTGTTTAACACCTGTTAAGAGTCCCGCATTGATAAAATAAGAGAGAACATATGAGTTTATAAGGTCATGGGTTAGATTAGCTAATTAGTTGGATTCAATCTTTTAGTGCGGTTTGGCCCATGTGCATTATAGCCCAGTTGAGTGACCCTAGCCCAATCTTAAATGTTTAGTAGAAATTTGAATGCTATGAATAGGTGTACTTATTGTGTCACTATATATGGTAGGGTTTGAAAATTTTATGTCGTGAACTACCAAAACTAATCAGATTCAATTTTTTCTTTTCATTTTAGCTGCTAACGTCGCTTCACAATGGTTGGAATTGCTTAATCAAGACACTAAAGGACGTCTTGCGGGTAGGTTTTGCAGTTTAGACATTCGAAAATACAACAGTAAACGAGCTAACTGCCTACTTTTATATTTCCAGCATTGCGAAGCAGTAGAAAGAGGGTCCGGGAGGTTATTCAGACGAAATTCCCGGGCCTAATTTCGAGGGAATTCTCTTGTAATCCACAAGATTCTGGTGCCGGGCAATTTGAACAAGCTACTGCTAGTGCGCATCATGCTAGATGGATCGCAATGTTCGATCAGATGGAGAAAACTCTTTCCGAGGAAGAGAGTCAGCTGGTGAGTCCACTTGCATACATGCCAATTGATAGGAGATAGCAAAGGTTTTTATTTTACATATCTGCAAAAACGCTCTTTTCCCTTTTTCGGTTCTGTGAAGTTTCTGAACGCTTCGAATCTTCTCCCGTGTTAATCTCAGGTAAGCTGGCGCAAACAAGTCCAGGAAATGCAGTTGCAATGCGAATGGGGCCTTACCAAATACAACGGGCCATATGGTTCGCCTCAACCTTCTGCACTACATAACGACGACAGGTAAATACACTGCTAGAAACACGAAAGAAAAAAGTTCCCGTTTTGTTACATCGTTCTTCATATAATTGGGGCGTTTGTGGACCGTAGTCGCTTATGGATGACCTTTGGTCTGGCTTTGATACCAAATTGAAGCATGTGCTCCATCCCAACTAAAAGCCTAAGCTGATAGTTGGATTGCATGGCTATATTCTCAACACATATACCTCATCAAAACGCGGTAGACTTTTGATCTGATCGTTTCGTGATACCTTTTGCCCCTTTGCAGATCGGAGACTGATCCAGAGCGGGATTTGGCTGTCAGAGCTGCTGCAGCTTCGATTTATTCGACCTGCAACTTTCTGGCATCAACTGAAAACCTACCCTGTTGCTGATCATTCTAACCACTGCAACTCACGAACACGCCAATATTTATTCCATATTTATCCACTTTCGAGTTCTTCCTTCCATCGATCCTCTCTCGTTTTCATGAACACTAGCCATTTCGCCCTTTTTCTCATGGCTGAAGTGATTGCTATTAGTAATAAGTAGCTGAAGTTGTTTCTCACTGAAAGTGATAAGAATTTGCAATAAATGTATATATACTGCTAGAGTTGTCATGTGTTATTTCATACTCTCTCCCTCGGCAAACTGTTTCTATCTTGTCTTTGTACCAAAAGCTATGCAGACAGACAAGAACAAAGAGAAATATGAATGTATGGATGGTGTTGAAGAGAAAATAAGATGCTAATTTCAAGAAATCGTGAAATTAATAAGATGCTAATTTCAAGAATTTGTGAAATTTTAAATAATCATGAGTGGCGAGGTTATAAGAGCATTTTCAATAGTAGGAAAAGATAAAAAGGAAAAAGAAAAGAATAAAATAAAATAAAAAAGTAAATTTGACGAGAAAAAAGAAAAAATAGAGCATCTGAGGTGCCAATCTGTGCAGCCCACTCACGTGGTTGTGCCTCTCATTTTCTCATTTCTTTTTTTCTTTTTCCTGACAAACCTCACAAAAAATCAATCTTGCATGAGAAATTCATATCTTTTCTTTTCTCCACATAAAAAATATTTTTTTCAAAAATTGTGAAAAAAATCACATATGGAGATGCTATAAAGTAATCTAATTATTTGTTATACCGATGACTTATGCTTCCATTGTTGTGTTGAGGTCTTGAGTACATTGTCATGCCATTGGTGTCAATCTACTTGCAAGATATCATTATAACACCTCACGAGTTTGATATTTTGATGGTCACATTACATTTGACCTTTTACTATTTGCATTATACTTAGCTTTACAGAGCTTTCTTTGTACTTTTTTGGGTGAAGAGAATAACTCATAGTTACTATTTGAAAAGTGTGCATTGGGTAAACTATACTCTTGTGTAAATTGTATTAAAAAGATTATGTACAACGGTCTTGATTGAGAAGATTTGGACTTGTTTCAATCTCAGTTAAGTTGATCGAGTTGTTGGCTTGGTAGTCATAAAGGTTCTGACTTAGGTTGGTTTATCTCATTGTGATCATTTATCGGCTAGGGTCACAATATGAGTTTTGATCTACTTAAACTGGTTTATCTTTTAGTTTATCTTTAAAAACTCTCCATGCAAGGAGTTGGTTTTTACTCAGACAAGTGGGGCCCATCGTGTGTAAATATGGCTTGCATTTGGTCACGTACAACGCACCGGGCGCGTTAATTTGATGTATTTTTTTTTTTCTTTTCTTTTCTCTTCTCTCTCGTCCTCTTTTTTCTAGTCACACTTGTAAAAATTTTTCAAAAAATTTACAACTATTGGGGATGTTCTAATGTCACAAGGTAGAATTTACCTCGTGCACGTCTTCGTATAGTAACGCTAGATTTTTTTTTTAGAGTAACGGTAGGTTTTTATTGCCAAAAAAAAATAAAACTTGTATTAATTTTTTGAGTAATAATAACTTTATTATAATGTAGTGATATACTTTATCAATCTATTAAATTACATAAGTAACATTGCGCTACAAGCTACTATTAATTATTTGTACTAAAGTTGGACAGGAGGCTAATATTGTACTTTCGAAGGCCCGCAAGGTTTGCGAGCGATTCGTAAAAACGAACCGAGTAACGACGCATTCGAACGCAACGAGCGAAGGAAGGAGGAGCAACGCCACGCCGCGACGAGTCCAGCCTTTTCTCTCTCCGACTTCACTTTCTCCCTTAGCGTTGACGCGGTTTTCGTCGTCGTCGACTTCTTCTTCTAATTCCTTTTCCGCTCTCGATTCCTCCGTCAACATTCATACGCCCGGTTGCTTCCTCGAAACTTTCATTTTTCTCTTAAACAATTACGGAGCATATAACAATGAGCATTTTTGTAGTTTCTCGTTGCTCGTGTTTTTCCGGATTGGTTTCCGGAGCTAGAACATAGGATTCAGATTACAGTTTTTTTTATACCTTTTTTAAAATCACATCAGAAGAAGAAGATAAAGGAAAATGAAGCATAGGAGCTTCCATTTCCTTGTAATCCTTCTGATTACTCTGGTTGTTCGAGAATCGTTCGCGATTCCTAATTTTTTCCGGGTTTTAGCTCAGGCTGATCATCCTCATACGGATCAGGTTTTCTCTCAGATTCAATCTCTCTGTTTTGTTTTGTTTTTTTTTTTTTTTTTTTTTTTAATTAGTTTTATATTGTTATGTGCTTGTCAGTTGGAATTTATTTTTACTATTATCCGCTTATCCTGTTTGACAGATATCTCCGTCTCCGAGCCCCGCTGCAGCATTTAAGCCGAATAATAGCGTCAAGCAAGGTTCAGGGAATAAGCCTTCTGATGGTGACGCAGTTGCAAAAAATGCATGCGATAAGGTGTCTAGGAAGTGCACTGTTCCTCAAATCAATGTCACCGCTTGCTTTCCGCATGCTGAAAAAGGTAATTTATTGTTTAAGTGTGCTTTTACTGCTATGTGATTTGTACCTGTTTGTGTTTAGTTAATAGTTTTTTTTTTTTTAATACTGTGATAACAATGTTTCCCGAGGTGAACATTTGTGATATTGCTTAAATTTTTGATAATAGAGACTTTTATTAGGATGCTATAGTTGGTAACCAGTTAGGGCCTATGCAAATTTAGTTTTTACTTGTTACAGTTTACTTTGATGAACAAAGAACTATATCATGACTTGCCGCTATGTGTTTGATCATGTTTTTTGGAGTGCGCTTTGGAAGAATGATCAGGGATCGAATCTCACCAGAGGCAGTGTGGGAGCAACCTCTCAAAGTGAGGGGTTCCTGGTCTAGCCTCTGTGGTTCATGTTCAGTTGAGTTATCATGATTTAAATCCTCCCAAATGCTCTGTCGGGTCGGGGGTGTGGGGGGCCCTTAGGGTTGGGGTTCAGCCTTTGGAAGAATGTTTTTTGGAGTGCGCTTGAGCACTTGAGCTACAAGTAGGCAAGTTTAAGGGAGATAAGCAAAAAAAAAAAAAAAAAAAGGGTTCTTGCACCTCTGTTTATTTACCTTAAAATAGTTGGCATGACCATATGATCTGTGCATTCTGAATTTCTGACCCTTTTCAGTGTTTTTAGGAATATAACATGCATTTCATCAACTTTTATACAAATTTGGTAAGAAAGTAGAGCAACTTTATCTGAATTTAACTTTAATCACAATTGTCTTTCACTTTTGTTCGAGTGGTCACATTTTTTGAACTGGCAATAACTTAAGCTTCAGTGTAAGAAATAGGGCTTTTTTCTGGGTTTGGACTGACAGGCCATCTTTGTTTTTTCTCCATATGGGAGTATGGGACTAGTAAGAAGTAAAGGAAAATTGTTTGTTTTAACCTTTTTAGTTCAAATGGTGATGTTAAAGGCAATTCATCTTTAATTAGTTACTGATTTACCGAACATCTATTGATTTAGTGGACTTGGAATATGTTATTTGAAGTTTTGGTTTTATAGAACTTCAGAGCTTTTTTGCAAAAAAAAAAAAAAAAAAAAAAAAACAAAACAAAAAAAACTTCAGAGCTTATTAACTCATGAAGACTCTTACCGATTTCACTCTTGTTTTGTGAAATACTGAAATATGATGGTACTTGGTAGTCTGACCTAGGATATCCTTCCTTTGCCTAAGATGCATTCTTTCTAAATCTTATTTATCTGTAGTCATTTTCCATTGCCTTAGGGTAGTACGGAGTAATATTCAGCATCTCTTCTATTCAACCTTTTCTCATTTAATATATTTTATTACTCTGTACATGTTCTTGATCTTTTTGTTTCTAGGAATTGTTGTATATGATTGTGTATTTGTATATCCCCTTGCTTTCTTTTAGATCTGGGTGAGAGATAAGTAATGTGTATATTGTTTTACCCTCTTTACCCCACTCTCATCTACTTCACTTAGTCTCTGTGTATATCTGTAAGCACAAGAGATACCTATGTTTTTGTTTGACTTCTAAACCAATGTAATTATGCTGCTTATGGCTTTTGACAATGAATGATTGAGCTTGGTTGAGACTCCACTTGATTTTAAAAGAGATATATATTCATTTTGAAGTTCCTTAGAATTGGTATAGGAGCATTAGTTTCTTAGCTGGTATTATGATTAAAAATTAACATAGTAAATTATTGCGTGTCTTTTTTTATGGAGCATCTGTTTGGATTCATTTTTGGTTTGTCATAATACTTGTGCTATTTATTTGCTGAAAAGCTCATGGCTTCTGGATTTGCATATTGTTTTATGTTTCATGTATACTATGATTAATTGCTTTCCGAGTGACTATGGTTTTGGCTTGATGCTTTTTGTCATATGTATACTAGCTGAGAGCGCAAATTGCTTCTTTAATAGGCCATGACTCTCATCTGATTGTCATATACAATGACACGAACCCCAAGCTGTTGAACATTACCTTTTTACCGAAGAATAAAAGACTTGAGAATGTAGAACTGAAGCTCAAACTGAATGAGGTACAATATCCTTTAGCTTCATCAATTGCCTCTTAGTCTTTTAGTAATTCTTTCATAATACCTTTGCATTTATTGGTTTCATGTCTCCTTTTTCGCCTCCTGATGGCTTGTTTTGCATTTTTCTTTTCTTTTCTGATCCTTGGGTTAGATTAATATCTCATCTGACATCGGAGGCAGTTCATCAATTGTGGTAAGTGCTGCAAATTTGAACTGTACAATTTCCCTGGAGGCTTCATTTCCGACACACAATTATAATTTTCCTTCTTACACGCCACACGTGACACCCATCTACGGGCTATTCTTTCTAGCCATGGTGTGTCTAATAATTGGCGGAACATTGCTTTGCTGCAAGTTCTGGAAAAGGGAAAGGCATCTTGGTGAAGTTCCCTACCAAGAGCTCCAATTGGGAGAGCAAGGGTCTCTTTCATCTACAAAAGTGGAATCAGCGGCAGGCTGGGATGAGGATTGGGACGATGACTGGGATGAAGAGAAGGCAGTTACATCGCCCGGTCCAAGACGCCTGGCAAATGGTAATACCACTGCCTCTCCAGACACGAATCATTGGGGTAATGATTGGGATGATTAGTTATAGATAGATTTTCGCCAGCTTCTTGTAGATGTAAAAGAAAAACTATGCTGATTGCCACCCACTCTGGTAGGAGAGGCAAACAAAGAAGAATTCAACAGGAAATTTTGATTTTACAGCGATAGAATTTTTGCCATACTTGTGCTGCTACTATATATGTGTTAGTTGCTTTAGGAAATCAATTAGCTTATATATAAAGTTTTGAGAAATGTAAAAGAATTTTATCCTTTGTTTTCATTGGTAAACCGATCACTGTGGGCTGAATGGGTGATATATATAAAGTTGCTATCAGATCTTCCATTGTGACTCTAGCCTGCATGGCAAAGGGATTTATGAGAAAGCCAGCCTTGTGATTCTACCTTCTACGACAAATATTCACAAGAAAGTAAATCAACTTAGGTTGTTTATAGTTAGTCAATTCAAATTAAAAAGATAAAAAAAAAAACTAAATTTGCGACGTTGTGGTTACCAAGTTAAATATTTGACAAACTTGTGTTAAAATTTGTTTTACACTATGTTATACTAGATTTTTTTAACGCGATTGATAAGTAAATTTTTTCACAAATTGATTTGTGAGGCATGTTGCAAAAAAAAAAGGGAATATAAAATGAAACATGGACATTTAAATAGAAAATAGAAAAAAATATTTAGGATATTAAAAATGAAAAATTAGAATTAAAAAATTGAAACCGACGCAAAAAAAAAAAAAAAAAAACGCATATATATATATATATATATATATATATATATATATATATATAATTAGTCTCTGACCAATTGTTATACCATGGATGGATCATGATTCATCTAGCATTGTGGATCTTGATCCAAAAATAATGTGTCTGCAATTGATATATTACAGTTACAAAATATTTTAATTGTAAACACATAATTTAGAAGCTATTTTAAATCAAAATTCACAATACAAAGTAAACTCTGGTCTATGATATAATTTGCCATCTCGGACCAATCCTTATGCTGTGAAATCGTGTCCACTTTGCAAGGTGAACATGGTTCTATGTTCATAATTACTGAACTATATGTTCATAATTATAAAGCTATATATTCATAATTTTTGAACTTCATATTTATAATTAGTAAACTCTATATTCACAATTACAAAACTCTATGTTCATAATTACTGACTATATGTTCATAATTATAACGCTATATATTCATAATTTTTGAACTTCATATTCACAATTATTGAATCTCTATATTTATAATTACAGAATTATATATTCATAACTCTATGTTCATAATTATAGAACTATATGTTCATAATTTTTGAAGTATATATTCATAATTATGAACAGTGTTGGAACCGTGTCCACCTTGCAAGGTGGACACGGTTCCACAGCATAATTTGCGGTTTCGGACGGCAAATAACACAATTGTGTGGATAATGAATATCATGTACATTTTATTTTTTTTTGAAGAAATCATGTACATTTTTAATATATTAAAAGTACATTATTTTTGTACTGAAGGTACATTATATAAAATAATGTACCCTTAGTATATTAAAAATGTATTTTTAAAAAATATATTTTATGTACATAAATAATGTACCCTTAGTATATTAAAAATATACTTTTTATTTATCGTCCATACAATTGTATAGACCATGGTTCATGCAATAATGATTGGTCTCGGTCAATGTGGGCTTTGAGTCAATAGTAAGCAAACTATTATACTATAGTCCATACAACAAAGCCCGAAACGGCCCAAAGTCCAAAACCCTACGGAAGATTTCTTTCTTCCTCTGGGTTGAACTGAAACAAGCGATCAAGTGAAATTGGCAGAATGAGAATTGAGAAGCAAGAGCAGACCGAGGAGTGAGTCGAGCGCGTAACAATGGCGTCTAATCGTAAGCAACTTATTGCCACGGCTCTCTGCAAAGAGCTATCATTGGATCCAGTAATTTCCCGAGTTAAATTTCCTTCCATAAAATTCAATCTCGAATGTGTATAAATTTGATTTATTTATTTTTTTCGAAATGCACGCAGAAACAGTTTTTGAGGAATCCAGAGAAAGATATCAAGAGTTTGTGTATAGAAATTATCAGCTCAACCCCCAGTGGTGCTGCCTTGTTAAAGGATAATGAGGTGAACGCCGTCAATTTTGACATTTCGTGGCAGTTTAGCGAGTTGCATAACCATGGAGTAGTAGTATTAAGATTTATTGTTTTTGATGTTGAAATTTACGAATTTTGTTACAGCTCATGAAGTGGATAGAGTTTGCTGACAAATTCCCAGGGGATTCAGAGCCTTGCTTTAAAGCACTCAGTGAATTGAACGAAGAATTGGTTAAAATATCTGTTCTTTTAGGCAATGGGTTTGAGCATTCAGCTGCTGATATCATTGTCTTTTCCACTGTTCACTCATCTGTGGTATGCATTCTCCATTTCTCCTTTCTGCTTTAGGAGTTGTCATTGTACTTAATTTTGGGGATTGTTGAATTTTTAAAAAGCATAAAGAATTAAAAACACTGCTGTCTTTTTAATGATATAAATGCTTTTACAAGTTTTAAGCTCAATCATAATTATAAATTTGCTGCTCGTGCTCCCTGCCAAGTGCTAGATCTTTTGCACTTAACATCTAACTTGTTGCTTTCATCTTCTTCTTTTTTTTTTTTTTTTTTTTTTTTTGGTACTATGTTTTATTAGTTTTCAAATTAAGAATTTTTCTGCGAATGGTGCATTTTCAATGCATCATTGGAGCAATGATATTGCTTAGAAATGAAAATCTACAGTGGTTTCGAGTATCCCTTGCTTTGGATACATAAGATGTAAGCTACTACTATATGCCTATATACTTTCTTCACTTCTGATAGCAGTACCATCATTTGAATTTTGAATTGTTTTACTTATTTGTAAATGGAATATTGGTTTCTTTAACATTAGTTGTATGTATAATAGGTCTTACTGCTTTTCAGATTGGCCTTTCAAAGTTGGATCAAGACAAATTACCACATTTGCTTAGATGGGTGGATTACATCCAGGTATAACCTGGCACTTCTCTTTTAAAAAGAATTGCATACCTTACCATGACAAAGCAAAATCTAGTTAGTGGCAGTTTTTTTTATTTTTTTCTTCTGTTGCATTGTTGGCACTATTAGCTTCTGCTTGAGGAGGAGGGGGAAGGGGGGATCAATTGGGTTTAGCTGTTATTTTGAGAGGAAAAAGTCAAATTGAAGACTATAGTAATAGCTTTTTGTCAGAATTGATAGTTCCCATCATAATGAGAGAATTCTTATATATAAAGAAAAAAAAAGGATATTGAATTTCTGGTCACTCTTGACTAGTAATGAAAAAGGGGGCAAATTTCAGAATTTGTAGTTTGAGGAGTGGAGGGATTCAATAATTCATATTATGTGAGTTAAGGCATCTTTTATCATTGTTTAAAAAGTTATGATATATTCATATATTTATATCTCATTATCCATAATTGTCCATCACAGACTAACCTTAAATTATTTTCTTAAGGTTGTTTGAGTTCAGTTTGGAAATATCTGCAATTAAGTACTATTATATCAAAACTAAGTGAATCACCAATTCAGATTGCTTAAGTATCTTTACAATATAACCTGCTTTTATTTGAAACCTTATAGAACATATAATTTCCATCATTCCATGTATGATTATAAGGCTCATTGACATTTTTTCTTTTTTATTTCTTGTAGAACATGGTTGATGTGGCAAATCTATTTGAAAGAATCAAACTTGAGAAGGTTGAATTTGACCCTCCTGTGAGTAAACCCTCCATAGTCCATCCTGGTGAATTTTCAGCTAAAAAGCTATCTGCAATTTTACTTTATGGAAACCTTGAATTGCACTCTCTGGGAGTGGATACAAAGCTGAATGCTGGGAATTGGGTTGCATCTATTATTGTGAAATATACACATTCAAATACTAGATTGCTAAATTGATTTTCTTTTTTCCCCTCCACACAAGAGTGGTTTCTAAATCTTTTTTCCTAAATAAGGGTAGTTTAAAACTTATTTTCCATACAAGGGTATTTTTTTTGCCTAGTCATCACTCATCATTTTCTCATCTAGTATTGATCCTACGCTGCTTAAATAATTAATAGAAATTCTAGCCATTACACTATTAATTAACTTGTTGATATTTTTATTTTATTTTATTTTCTTTCCAAAGTTATTGTTATTATTAATTAATGATATATTATTACTTGATATAAATAAATCAAAGTTATTATATATGTCAACTTGTCAAGTAATAATAATATTAATTAATAGATTTAATACAGTCATACAGAATAATAGTTTGGAAATAAATAGTTTTTTTTTTAAAAAAAAAATTAGTAAAAGAACGTAACTTTATTTTTGGGATGTTTCTTTTTCTTTTATCTTTTATTATTATTATTATTATTATTATTATTATTATTATTATTATTATGATTATGATTATGATGATGATGATGATAATGATTATGATGATGATGATTATTATTATTATTATTATTATTATTATTATTATTATTATTATTATTATTATTAATATTATTATTATTATTATATATATTTTTCCAGGTAGTGAAAGTTATGAAGAAGGCAGAAGTAGATTCAAATGTAAAAAATCCTGAGCAGGGGAAGAAAGAGTCTGGTAGTGCAGAAAATGTAAAACCAAAGAAGAGTGCAGAAGATGTTAAACCAAAGAAGAATGCTGATGCGGTACATTATTTATCAAATGTTTCAGTCTAATGGCGTTATTAAAGCCCTCTATGGCTCTATGAAAAGAATTCTTGACAAGCTTATGCAACATTCTATACCAAAAGAGCATGCTGGAAATAGGAATCATTGGAAATTTCTTTTTGATGATTGCATATATCTAGTGAAGAATCATTAAACACTTTTTATAAAGTTATACTTCTGTTTTACCTAAATCGTATTAATTTCCTAGTACTGACATTCTTGCCTTTTGTTTCTGAAAAATGGAAGAAAAAAGCTGCAGGGGGTAATCAAACTACCACAGACAATAAGAACAATAAGAAAGTGCCTGAAAAAGAAGTGGATGAGAAGGATAAAGACATTAGTGTAAGTTTGCTTAAAGTACAGATTGGTCATATTCGTAAAGCATGGAAGCATCCATCAGCTGACAGGTATAATGGTCAACCTGCTAGAATTTTAAACCCTCCTTATCTGTTGTTATATATATATATATATATATATATATATATATATATATATATATATATAATTACTTAATGTGATTTTTGTTTACCCTTCTCCCTTTTCCTTTTATTTTTCATTTCCAAGCTAAAGAATTTGAGCACACATCTATGGTCACATTTTGTTGCCAAATAACTATGGATCAGCAAAAAAGGAAGAAAAAAAAAGCTTTACTTATTTGAACATTGTTCTTTGATTTACTTGTGTAGTTTACTAGTTGAGGAGATAGATGTTGGGGAAGCTAAATGTCGACAAGTGGTCAGTGGTCTGGCAAAGTATTTCACCCCAGAACAAATGACAGTATGTTTTGGGCAATTTTCCATGAATGAAATACATTCCCAGATCCAATATTTATTAGCTGTAGTATTGATAAATCATTTTTATTGTCCATGTTACAGAATCGCCTAGTGGTGCTTATCACAAACATGAAACCGTCCAAACTTCGAGATGTGGCATCTGAGGGGATGGTATTTTTAGCACCATATTTTTGTTAATATCTTGACTAATTCATTTTATTCCAAATATTGTAATAGGAGTTTAGTGCTACTAATATGGTATGAGCTATTTTCTTTAAAGTTATGTCAGTATCCTAATTAGCTACTGGGCCTACTTTGAACATGCTATACTAGGATATGATACTATTCTCAATCTTGAATTTGCCTATTTTGATTTGAAAATTTTGCCATTTACCATCAGAATAGTTTGAGTAAGGGTTCACTTGAGAACATATGCAGTTCTTCAGCATTTGAATTTAGTCGATGTTAAGGTAATTTACTGGGTGTTAAATGTTTTTGATATTATTTAATCCTTTCAGGTACTATGTGCTTCTAATGATGATCACACAGTTGTGGAGCCTCTAATAGCACCGGAAGGGGCAAAAGTTGGGGAATGTGTGTCTTTTTCTGGGTATGTCTTAGCCTATTAGATTTTTTGGTCTTGACAATTCTGCTTAAATTTCTTTTAAACCTTATATTGAAATAATTGAAATAAGTTAACAAGAAGGATTGAGGCCCAACATTTATTATCAATTCTGTGGTTTCTCATTTTCTCTCTCTCTCCCTCTCTTTTGTAGTAGTTCATTACCTAGAGGCATCATGGAGAACCATTCCTTTGATAGGGTCATAGGGGAAACTTGTTTAAAATTTTGTTCTATGGACAACTAGATTATGCACAATATAAGCAGCCGCGATTTACTATCTGTCCTGGCACCATTATGAAAAACGCTAGTTTCATGGTAAAAAATTTCAGCTGTTTCATACCATCTTATATCTAGTAACTATGGCAGTTGGTAAAATGACATTGCTTAATCTTGGTTTGTGATCACTCACTGAGCTTGGTACTAAGTTATCTACATGGCCATACATGCTAATATGTGAATTCCCCTTGCATTACCATATTTTGAGTATTCTTCTACGTTTATACTTAATCTTAGATGAATTGCTTCAATAGTTCAAAGTACAGACTATCTTCATTATTATTATTATTATTATTATTATTATTTATTAAACGTATGTTTTTAATATCTTTGGGTCCAGACATGATGGAAAACCAGAGGATGTATTGAACCCTAAAAAGAAACAGTTTGACAAAATAGCTGTGGTATGTATCTGTCTTTCTAACTTTTATTTCAAATATGGAGATTTGCAATATTGATTCATTGGTGGACACCATAGTTGTCTATATTGAAGTTCTCCCAGTTCACATACCAGAATCCAGAATTGATGGATTTCCGTGTCTTCAATAACTAAATACTGAAGAATCCATATATGTTTAAATTACGAGCATCTCGTGCGATTTTAGCCCTTCTGGCTTCTGTAATTCAATTGAGTACTCAAACTACATTGAGTTTTTCCTTGGATGCAGAACCTCTTCACGGATGACAATGGCGTGGCCACATTCAAGGGTATCCCATTCATGACTTCTGCTGGGCCCTGCACATCCTCCCTCCCTCGTGCTAGCATCAAGTGATGGACGCACATTTGAAATCTGCGAGATCGCGAAAATTTTCTCAGTTCAACCTAGATATTATAATGATTATCTTTTGTAGAGCAAACTGCATTTTGTTGGAAAAGTTTTGGTTAGCTGGAGTTGTGCTGTATGTTGTAGTATTCTACAGTGATGGGATATGAATGGCGACCGTACCTTGAAAATCTATGCAGAAATGCCATTGACACGTTTTGTCTTTGAAAATCTCAAAGATCATGACTGCAATTCGTATCTCTATGGTGCATTGTGAAATCGAATCGGATCTCTGCGCCGATTCGGACTTTGGACCACTTTCGACTTTCTTCTTCTTGAAACGACCTTAGCCTAATCAAACCCCCTTTCTATACTTATCCAATCGTTTTCAATCTTCTCTAAACTTTTCTTCTTCATTCACAACTCACAAGCTAATTATTAAAGGTACACCAAAACTCTCAAATGTGAGCGGTTTTACAATAATGTAATTTTAGCGTCTAATGTAAATTAGTAATGCATATATCATGTACACCACAATTGCTATTTACCACGATTTTTTGTGCTTAATTAGGTCATCGATTTTTATGGTTTTACTCAATTGAGTCATCTTGGTAATTAAAATACCTAATTTAATCCTCGACTATAGTAGTTTTACACTTTTACCCAATTTAGTCCTCAAATATAATGATTTTTCTTGATTTAGTCTTTGATTATAACAATCAATGACTCAATTCGGTAAAACCTTCAAAGTTGAGGACCTAATTAAACACAAAATGTCTTATGACTAAATCAAGAAAAACCATAGGACTGAATTGGGTATTAACCAACTCCTTTTTACTAATTCGCGTGAGTTATACAAGGATAATATCAAGCTCAATTAACATAACATATCAACTCAACTAGTCAACTAACATATAGAGTGTACGTGATATAATGTAGGTTTTTGAATGTACATTGTGTGTAATTGCACCAACTGCTCTTTACTAATTCCTGCAAATTATACACTCGTGAAAAATCAATTAACATGATGTAAAAACTCAACTAATATAACGTGCATGGCATATTGAACACCGCATAATTATAATTATATATATTACAAAAAGACGGTTATTATTTTACGAGTTAGTATTTTATATTTGAGGAATATTTGTAATATAAGAATTGAGGGCCAGATTTGATTGCTTATATATTTTGTGGATATTGCTCTCAGAAATCTTCTCCCCATTGCATGCAGATTCAGATCAGATTCTGTTTTATACTCCAAAACTCTAACCAGATAAATATTTTAAAACCACTTGACTTCTCATATTTAATTTACATATAAACAGTGGATTCTCTTGCTTTTTTATCTTTATTGGAGGGAGTTTAAAATTTGAAAAAAAATAAAATGGGGATCTCATAGAGCAGTGAGCTGATACTGATATCAATATCTGTTGATACTATCATGCTATACATACATTATGTATATAGGAGGTAAAAAAACAGTGGATTCAGGAATGCATCGAATCAAGAAAAAGAATTCCTAAAAGATCACGAAATATCAGTGAGAACCCCACCCCACATCCTTTGATTTTATCCCCTCTGATCTGCTGATTCTTTCCTTCTTTAAATCCCACACCCTACTCAACATTTCATTGCATCATTCTTGCAAACCAATCCTCTGCAACATCATCATCATATATATATATATATATATATATATATAGTTGAGGTTCTTGTCCTTTAAGGTTTAATTTGTGCCTGCTTTTCTTGGAGAAAGGTTGTGTCTTTGGTGAGGATTCTGGAGATAATGGCAACTTCTTCAAGGAATGGGGGAGATGAATCACCTCATGTACTAGCTGTTGATGACAACCTCGTCGATCGCAAACTCGTTGAAATGCTACTCAAGAATTCATCCTGCAGAGGTAAGAACCGAGTGGTAGATTGTGAGTAAAAACACAGGATCAAACCCTGGCAGTTGTAGTGTGAGAGTTACACAATTGTGACGGGCTCCTTGTGAGCATCAGGCACTGGTCCTCTCACCTAATGACCCGCCACCGTGATTTACCCCTCCACTATCTTGTTGGGGTGTGGGGGTCCTGGGAGCGAGGGAATTTCATTGCCCTTTTGTGGGCAAGAGTTGTCTGTGTTGTTTAAAGTTAATCATAGAGTAGAATCTGTATTGACAGTTTGATTTGTATTTCATCAGTGACTACTGCAGAGAATGGGTTGAGGGCTTTGGAGTATTTGGGGTTGGGAGATGAACAACACAACACTTCAAATGAAAATGAAAATGTCAGCAGACAGGCAGGCAAATCTGTATATTTTGAGAAGAAAATAGACTGTTTTCATTGCGATTTTCGTTAACTTTGTAGATTTTCCCTTTCTGCAGGGATCAAAGGTGAATATGATCATCACAGATTACTGCATGCCTGAAATGACAGGCTATGAGCTGCTCAAGAAAATCAAGGTAGTTTACTGATGAAGTGTTGGTTTAATATTGTTGTTTTTTTCTGATCATAAACCTTAACATCTAAACATCTGATGATATTGTTGAAACCAGGAATCTTCTAACATGAAGGACATCCCTGTTGTGATAATGTCATCTGAGAACATTCCAACTCGGATCAATCAGTGAGTACTGTAAACTTCAAAGTTTTGTTATAATTTGGTCATTTTGATGCCATGAAATGTGTCTAACTGGGAAAGTATGCAGATGCTTGGAGGAAGGAGCCCAGATGTTCATGCTAAAGCCACTCAAACACGCAGATGTGAAGCGATTAAGAGGGCAATTGATGCAGTGCTGAGGATAATAAAGATCAAAACATCATTGATCTGATAAACACTCTTTAATGTCTTTTTCCATTTCTTCCAGTTAGCAGTCATTCTTTGAGTTTCTGAACTCTTGTAAGATGATGACATAGCATCATTCCCTTTGATTTCAGCCATAGTGGTTGGGACCAGCACTCTTGAAGGATGATGACATAGCATCATCATTCCCCTTTGAGTTTAGCCATAATGTTTGGGACCAAGAATGAAATGAACATCCAATTGGGTTCTCTTTCTCATGTTTTTTTTTTGAGATATTCTCTTTCTCATGTTTTTATTGATAAATCTTCCAATTATGCATTCAACCTAGTGAATATTCAAGATTAGGGATAATCCCAACTAAGTTGGCCTGTTAACTTGGTAGCCACAATGCAACAATTTTGACTCCCAATTGGAGCAAGCGAGCAGCCAATTGTCCTTAAGCTTGAGCTAGTCAATGAGCAACCAATGTTGGTTTACCTTGGTCAATTGTCATTAGGGTCACAAATCAAGGTTTACCCACTGCAAGGGCTATGGTTACCTTTGATTCTCCGTGGGAGCAACCAATTGTCCTTAGCTTGAGTTGGTCAATGTTGATTTACCTTATGGTCCTTTACCAATAAGGGTCACAAATCAAAATTTACCCACGGCAAGGGTTGTGGTTACCTTTGACTCTTTGTGGGAAGAGCCAATTGTCCTTAGGTTGAGTTGGTCAATGTTGATTTACCTTATGGTCCTTTACCGATTAGGGTCACAAATCAAGATTTACCCACTGCAAGGGCTGTGGTTACCTTTGACTCTTTGTGGGAAGAGCCAATTGTCCTTAGGTTGAGTTGGTCAATGTTGATTTACCTTATGGTCCTTTACCGATTAGGGTCACAAATCAAGATTTACCCACTGCAAGGGCTGTGGTTACCTTTGACTCTCCGTGGGAGCAGCCAATTGTCCTTAGCTTGAATTGGTCAATGTTGATTTACCTTATGGTCCTTTACCGAGTAGGGTCACAAATCAAGGTTTACCCACTGCAAGAGTTGCCGTTACCTTTAACTCTCCGTAGGAGTAGCCAATTGGCCTTAGCTTGAGTTGGTCAATGGCAACCAATGTTGGTTTACCTTATGGTCCTTTGCCAATTAGGGTCAGGTCACAAATAAGGGTTTATCCGCTCCAAGAGTTGTGGTTACCTTTGACTCTCGTGGGAGTAGCCAATTGACCACCTTGATTTGATTCTTGATTTGAGCCAATTGAATATCCTATACTGATTTACCTTATTTATTGACTAAAATCACAAATCAGGATTTACTCATTACAAGACTCCTTATTTATTGACTACAAAAACATGATAGCATTTTATAATTGTCTCCCATTTCATAACCTCAGATAACAGTAGAGTCACAAAACCACATTACACACAGATGACTGGCCCACCAAGTTTCAATCTTTCCAACAAAAAAAAAAAAAAAAAAAAAAAACACACAACTTGGGGGGCTGCCATCCATCCAAGACTTACAAATATGCAGAGTTCAACACAATCACATGTCCACATCAGGTTAATACATAGAGTTCAAAACTGAAAGAAACACAGTGGAGACTACTACTAGAACCTGTGATGGTGATGGTGGTGGTGGGGATGGCCATGCTCAACACACCCCAAGCAACTCAGAAAAGGATAGCACACAAACATGAGGCACCTCTGGAAGACGGAGAACAAAGACGACACCATCATGCAAGGGCAGCAGCAACACGCCAGGAAAGGATCATCGTGCGGACCGCCATGGCCGTGGTGGTGGTGGTGGTGATGACCCATCTTCTTCTTTGACCTAAATTCAAAATTCCAACGATTACCCAGAATACAATATCCAAATTGAAAGCAACCCACTGTGAAACCTTGGAAAAAAGAGTGGAAAGAAGAATAATTTAGAGGTCCATGGGCATGAGCGTACCTGGGAATCTGGCAATTTCAGCAGATCTGGAGTGGAGTGGGGAGAAAGTAGATAGGTGAGA